AGGATAAGAGTGTCTGGTTAAACTAAACCACAAATTTTGCTTGCAGCCTGCCTTGACAGCTTTTTTTAAACCTACTTTACTTATCTTCTTTGCTAGCCTTCTATTTGCTGAACTATCTTCATTAGCTGTCAAATTTCTAATCCTATTTTCACAGGCAGCTAGAAGCAAAATAGCAGACAGCAGCCACAAGATTCGTGGTTAACAAGTTTATAGTATGAGGCCCACAGTAGCTCAGTTGCACATAGGTTTTTCTGCCCCTCAGAGTGGGGCTTTCTTGTAGATTCATAGTGCTATAAGCATTTTTCTGCAATTAAAGGCAGACTAAACTTTTTTTTCTGGAGGTGGTCACTCACAAAGAGAAAGGTAAATGAATCAGTAGAATAGTCATCCAGACTTTTGTGATGATAACAAGCACACCTAAATCTTAATCTAGGTGTTAATGTTTTTATTTTGTAATAAATCCATTATTTTTTTCAGTACTTGATCCTTTTGTATGAAATATGATACAAAATCCTCTGTACTGTTGTTCCAAATGTTTTTATACAGAATACAAAAATATATATTTATTATCCTGAGTTAGCTGCTCCTAAAAAAATTCCAGTCATGTCCTGTGGCTGTATTAAAATATTTCATCTTCTTGAATTCATGAGCAAACTATATATTCTCCTCCTGGCAGGCTGTCTAATCTAACCTACCTCATTCTCATCCGTTTTGAAAAATACTCACCCTAGGCAGAATGTTCACAGTGATGTAATGGCTGTCTATGAATATACTATGCTTGGAGGTGGCTTCCTTTGGAATGACATATAAAAAATGTCAGCATCTATTGCAAGCCACTTAAGATATTTGAAAGATATTTCCCCAGATTTGTCTAAACTGCTTTGTGTAGAAGTTTTATGCTGCTGTTTTCCATCATCATCCATGTTTTAAAAAAATTTTAACAAATTTAAGAAGTATGAATTTAGTTCAGCCAGCCTTGGACATTGAAATAGTATATTTTTGCAAATGACAGTTGTACCTGCAACTGGAAAGGCTTCACTGCACCCGATATTTCAATATTCAAGGAGCTTCTTTAATGCATGAATATATAGGTTAGTCTCTTCCCCACTTTAATACTTGACATCTCTTGTAGAAGTATTAGAAAAGGTATAAATCTTATTGTTGATTATTAGCATGCTAACAACTTTCAAATGAAACCTAAACTGAAATTCTGTTTAGGCTCTGTACATTCAGTCTAATTTTTAATGTGAGACTGGGTTATATGGTGATATCAACACCGGTGCCCACTGTGTGCTATTGCTAAAGTAAAAATGTAGCTTTGTTAACAATGACAGATAAAAAAATCAGTGGAAGTATGCCCTGAACCTAATCAGATAAATTCTGACATTTCCACTATGTCATGTAGCTTGCCCTACTTTACATTTTATCCTTTTATAAGTAACAGCTCTCAAACTTTAACTTTAATTGTTAATAACCTGAACTATGTTTGAACCAGTAGCCTGAAGTTGCTTATCCCATGACCTCTCCTTTGCACTAGCCAGACACCTCAAGGCAAAGAACTTTCAAGACGTCAGCCCTGATTACTTGCTGCAGTCATGTCAAGCAGATGTTTCATGAGGGTGAAAGCTTGAGAAGTGTTACCAGTGCAATAAATTTACATCTACAGGTTATGCTTCACAGAAGTTTTGTTCCATAGGAACCATAAAGCGTAGCTGAAAAGGACAGTCAGCATACTTTTGTGTTATAATCTGCAGCTGCAACGGTTTCTGTTCACTTGTTAGGACTCTTCAGTGTTGGCATTCTATAAATCAGGCTACTAGCTGACAAGGAATGCACATGCAGCCTAGACTTTTATTACTTTTGTTAGTATCCCTTTGGATGGCAAGTAGCATCTTCCTCTGAAGTCAGTCAGCGCATTGGGATACTCAAAGCAGTGAAAATAATGTATGATGAAGTAAAAAAATGCTGTTGGCTGCAAAGTCATGATGTTTTAAAATCTACAGAAGGGAACTAATTTCTTTGAGTTGCACCAAGGATTAATCTGGGCCACATTTCTGAAGGAATAATTCTCAAGTTATTGGAAGTTTGTAAATCTCATGGGTTGGGTTGGGTTTTTTTCATTATTTCCAAATAGGCAGTAGGTCAAGGCTGAACCATTTTAGATAACTTTTTTTTGTTTGTTTGAAAACTTGGTGCAAAGTGAACAGAGCAAGCTAAGGTAAAGTAAATCTGAAGTTACCTAGGAAGAGTGTTAATATACATGTGAAAATTTTAAAAGATCATGTTTTAATGCCAGAATCTTTCCTGCTGATCTTGAGGGAATTTCTTCCTTCCCTGTTGGTAGAAAAATGTTACCTAAAATAAGAACAAGTATATAAATGACATAACTTCCCAGTGTCCTACAATCAATTTCTTAGCATTATTAAATCAATTATGTAACAGTTTTTACAAAAACACTAAAATATTTTAACATATCTTACAAAGATTAAACCAAAAATTTCTAGTATTTGGTCCTTGCAGTGTAAGCATATTTTATAAGCATTCTAGTTGGTTATTTTTATAGGAAGATGTCTTTAATGTATCTGTTTCTGAAAGAAGAACCCCACTAGGAATTATTAAAAAATATGAAGCTGAAAATAGTAAAAAAGTGAATACAGTATTCTATATCCATACTGGGAGTAAAAATTTCAAACATCTGTTATACTGAGCTAAGTTTCATAAAAAGCATACTGGAATTTGGTTCGCCAAATGCTTATACTCCTTGAAAATCAGACATAGGAGCGTACTGGCTTGCAGGACACAGCTTTGCTGCTGTATTGAGGTTTAACCTCAGAGAGTAGCTCAGCCCCACACAGCCACTCTCACACTCCCTTCTGGTGGGATGGGGGAGAGAATTGGAAGAGTAAAAGTGAGAAAACTCATGGGTTGAGTTAAACACGGCACAAATCCAAAACGTAGCCCCATACTAGCTACTACGACAAAAGTTATCTCTATCCCAGCCAAAACCAGCACATACTGTTTCAGCCTTTCTTTTGCTCCATGCTGTGAAAGTCAGCAGAAGTGAGAGAGGCTACTGATAACCCTGATGATTAAACTGTATATAACCCCATGACTGCTGCCAGAATGAACAGAAGTCCTAGATCCTCTGCTTTATATGTTTTGGGTGAATAATCAACACTGAGGCCAATATATATGTGAGGGTTGCATAGCACATAACAATCATAATTGAGGTAGCTGGAAATGTAAGGCTTCAGTAGGCTTTATAGAAGATTTGAGATGCATATTTTAAATACCTCTAAGAACATAAAGGAATGGAGGATGCAGAGGACAAGAATAATAATGTATATTTTACTCAAGCCACACACATGCACAGCTGGAGGTTTTTTCTTAATTAAATTAAAAAAATATATAAGTTAACAAAGTAACTACCTGAGGTCTTACTAAATTTATCATTTTAGTGTTGCTACCTTCAAGTACTGAGCAATCTGCCATCCCATTCATAAAGGAAAAGACGTTTTGGGGTAACCACAAGACTCCAGCTTCTGAAGGAAAAGTGTGAAAAGCTTGAAATCTGTAATATAAAGAGAATTTGCAAAAGTACTTAATGTGTAGATTTATTAATTATTGGTATGGAATTCTAGCTAAATGGTAGTAGATACTCCTTGCATCGAACTGGTTTTGTTTCATTCCTAAACAAATGGAGATTTTAATAATCTCATCAAAGGGAGCCCCAAAGCTGACAAATGTGACCAAGAAGAAATCTGGAAAGACTGTCTTTATCTTTCACTGAGATATCGTTTAATGATAAAACTGTTCAGAATGAAATGTCAGTAATGAGATGTATCGAACATTGTTGACTACCAGGTTATAGAACAGGTTCTACAGCTGGGGCACTGTCATGGCATCATGGGCATCACTCTTTTCCCATTGCTTTGTTTTGAGGAGTCAATTTTTCAATTTTTTTTAGTGAGTCAAGGTTAATAGGTGGTTACTTTTTAGGTAAAGTTGCTGAAAGTTTTTCAGTAGATGAGTTTGCATCTGGAAAATGCATTTTCATGGAAATTAAGTGTTTTATAGAAACATTCACACCAGTGCAATCCTTTGAAGGGAAATAAAGGCAGTCAAAACAATGCCCCATGTTTTGACTTGATAGTACTAAATGTTCCATTGAAAGAGTATAAAAGACATTGATTTACACTTTTATTTTTAACAGTTATGTTACATTAATATATATTATGTTTATTAAGTTCGTATAAATTATTAATTAGTATATATTAATATATTAATGTTTAATCTTAGTATATTGAAAAATAAATCTACGAACAAGATCTAATTTAAGGAAGATTTTTTTTTCTTGTATCAGATAATAATAGTAAATCACATCCTATCTCTTTTATGGAAGTTCAGGAATCAGTAGATGCAACCAGTTCTCAGCATCCCTCCGTTTAAATGTGAGCTCTCCTGTGAGCAGGAAGAGTTTATTTGGGAAGAATCTGGTCTAGATAGCCTACCAAATAGACTAATGGATTTTTTTGACTGATTTAGCCAGAAAGACTTAGTCCATAATTACATTTTAGGTAAGAAATTGTTCACACACATATCTGGAATATTTGCCTGGTTGTATTATCTAGTAAAAATTTTTGCTATATCATAGCGTATTAGAGGTCAGGCACTATTTGTGGTTGTCCATGATGCATGTTCAGGAGGAATTATCTTTTTTTACATAAATATTAGGTATAAATTGTTTCCAAAACATAATTTGGTCCTCTTATTCCAGGAACAGCATGGGCTTATGTGCATATGAGGGGCATATGGCTGTGTCTGTGAATATCTTTGAATTACTAAAATTATGTATGCTTTGAACTTTTCATCAGTTTAATTTTGTCTTTCATAAAGAATGTGTCAATTATAATTTCTTTTAAAGTGAGTATTTAATTTGGCTAATTGACAGCTGGCTATACTAATTGTGATTTGATCTAGTTTTTGTTGTGTCTCTAAAGGAACCAAGATCTTGATAACCTCATCAAAGTGAATCCAAGTTCTTTCACAAGTGACAAGAAGTAAGTCTTCAAAGCTTCTCATGCACTATGTTTTTAAGGCAGTGAGTAGTTTATAACTATGAGAATGTCAGGAAAGGTAATGATGCAAATCTCTAAAATGTTTATAGATTAATAAGTAGCAGTCCTTTTACAGAATGCTGGATAGAAAAATACAGATTAATTAACTGGTATGTGCACTATCAGCTGAAAAAATAGTATCTGTGGCACGCTTCCATACATGCCTTATATGCTTGCCCAATAAAACTATTAAAGAAAATTTTTAATATAGTTAGAGAAACAGAATTATACAAAATAGTGTTGGACTCATGGATGACAGGTCTTGTCCGAAAAGTGTGTAGCAAAGCGTTTCAGTCATCAAGGGCACTGATCCATAAAGAACAGCTTGAACTGACATTTTTGAACAGCACATCAGTTCAGTGTGTTTCAGGCCAAGTATCTTGCAGTCTGTACATAGAACTTCAGCATACAAAAAGGGAGGAAGTGCCAGGGTACTGTTACAGTAAGAGCTGTATAATATTTGTCACACCTAACACTGAAATTCTACAGAAAACTTCAAGAACAGTACAGCACATAAAGATTGCCTACATGTGATCATCTATTTTACAGTAGACAACCTCACATATATGCATACATACATATTTGTATATGTACACTTAGCACTAACCCGTAAGCTGAGTATGATATTTTTGCAGATTTTCATTCACAGAGAATTTATTATGACAGAGTCCGAGACTTTGGGACACCATTGAATTTTAAGAGACATCCAAAGTTTCAAGATTAATGTCTACTATGACAGAAGTGACCAAGTTAACAGTTTCACAGAGCTAACAGCCTTTTGCTTTTGCTCCCTACTTTACCTAAAGAGAATCAGGGGTTTTTCTTACATTAGTTAGAGTGCTTTTCAGAGGTCATTCCATTCTCTGATTCACTGAAGCATTTTAATTAATTAAAAAAAAAAAGAGGAAAAAATAGCCACTAGTTTAAATGTATGAAATGTAAAAAATATTTCTGCATATGTAAACTTTGTGAGTCTTTGAATGCTTACATTTTCAGTATAAGTACAGGCATAATCAGTGCTTTGTTAACTCTGGTGACACAGGGAGGTAATTTCTTGTAATTCCAGAAGCAAAAATATGTGGACATTTTGACATATGGACATTTTGACATATTTTTAGGTGTCGTCTTAAGAAGCACAAGTTTCTTATTTTAAATAAAAACTTTTTTTGTTTTTTTTTAATTGTTTTTATTTTTCAAATTAATGATGCAAACAAGGATTAAGCTGCTTTGGAGCCTGTAAATTAATACCAAGTTCTTTGAAAGTTCATGATTCTCCTTCATTATCTTCACTGGCAAATAACAATCTTAAACTATGGCATTGATGTGATTAAACAAGGCCTTTTTATTTTCTTGGCTGCACTAGATAGTATTTTATAATAATATTTTATATTTAATTGTACAGAACTTTACCTTGTGAGTGGAAAATTGTAAACATATTTTCTTATTATGGTCAATGATATAAGTATTTGCAAATTTTGAACATAAACTTAACTATTTATTTTTTCTTTTTAAATGTGTGCATAAATATATTTCTTTCTTTCACCTATATTTTCCCTCTCCCCAGATAGGGGGAATATTTTAACAGTTTTATTTGTCTGTTGTTTCAGAGGAAAAGACCTTGAGGATTTTACTGGAATAAATACTGCTGGTCAGAAAAATAAGAGGCAAGGCTGTCATAACCTTTCCCTTATATACTTATAAAATATTTGTGGTTGGTTGGATACTAGTATTAATAGGTTCTATACTGTAAAAATCATAATAGGAGTCAAAATTATTATTTTTATTTGATTGAAGCTCTAGAATTTTAACTTTTAAAAATTTCTCATCAAATGCAGGATAGTAAGCTTAAATAATTCAGGGTGGAAGAAGGTAGTACTTGACTTTATCTTACTGGAACTCTAAATAGCCAGTGCATGACCATTCAAGCTCCTTAAATTAGTGTGAAATGGTCTTTCAAACTAAAATTTGTCCTTTAAATACAAAAGAGGAGTATCATAAATAAAATTTTTAAAAATCCTTTTTTTTCTTAGTATCATTATTCATTTTCAAATGAGCAACAGTGTGTTTTTTTTCTTAATCTTAAACAATTCTTCAGTGGATAACATTATTATTTTTAATTACAGACCATTTAATATAAAATATTAATGTACATTTAAATGAATATATTATATAGACTACATCTGCTAATATATTAAAATATGAATATGGGAAAATATATTATATCAAATCAGCTTTTTCACAGCCAGTGATTTACAAGTTACTAGTATAAATGTGGTCATATGGTCCTAGAGATTGTATACAACCCTATACAACAGCAGTTATAAGAGAAATCTTGGCTGGATATAATGACAAAGCAATTAACACACTTCGGTAGCCATTTCCATAGCTCATGGTGCTGATGCCTGTACCAAATGAAATTATATTATCAAGTCAAAACGATGGAGCCATGGTCAGTTTAGATGATGTAGGCAGGCCATCTGCCTGTAGCATGGCAACACAATGCAACACAGTGACCATTAATTGAAATGAGATTCAGACGATATAAGGAGGGCTGTCCTGCGTGGAGCAGGTTGCATGTGCCCTCTCTTCCTTGGAGGTTTTCAAGACCCAACTAGAAAAAGCCCTGAGCAACCTGGTCTGACCTCGTATCTGCCTCTGCTTTGAGCAGGAAGTTGGACTAGAGACCTCCCAAGGTCCCTGAATTCCAACCTGAATTATCTTACTATACTACAATAAAAGCAGCATTTTTGAGTCATTTATCATTCTTTTGTAGTGTCACACTGGAGAGAAACTGAAAAATATTGAAGTACGAACTGATAACTCTTACTTCATAACTAAATACTTATGATATGAATGAGTTGTGATACATACTCAGTATAGTTAGGAATCTTCCTTGTGAAATGCATATAATGTCTTCTTCTTAAACATAAATAATTCAACACATTTATTATGTTTTGGCTGAATAAAAAAAAAAAGAAAAAAAAAAAAAAAAAAAGAAATTATTAATTCTGAGGTCTTTCTCACTTTCACAGAGATGAGGACCTTGGTGGTCACACTGAAGTAAAGTCTGATGATGACCAAAGTAAAAAGTGGTGAGATTCGATTCATAGTTCTCTATAAAATTTAAAGAGCCAATATCAAGAGTTGTAACTGTTTAGTGTGATACCAGAAAATGTGAATTCCTAATACAAGCAAGCAGAATTTTTATAACTTGAGTAAGATATCTGTATTATTTCTAAAATGTGCCTGATTAAGTAAATATAACAATATAGGTGCATACATTTTGATAATAAGCAATGACTCAAACCTATAATTTCTTGTAGTGAATGAAAATGCCTGGTGACAAGATGCTCCTAAGTAGTTTTGTGCTTATCTAGGTGTTTTGTGAACTCAGGTGTTCAAAGCTTTCTCAAAGAAAATAAAGTAAATGCATTCATACTTTAAAAGTTTCACTGCTACTATGTTTCTTTATTTGCAAAAACTAAGATCCATTTTGGTCAATTAAAGTGAAGTTAGTATTACATTTTTAGGTAACATTCTGATGGTATCTTTCTGAGTCTTCCATTTAGTTTTATATCTAAATGAAGAGAAAGAACATAGCTATCTGTATACATAAGTAGTTTTGCTATCCTTTATTATAAAATATTTTTATCCTAGCAGTCCCATTTGACAGTCTGACCAGAAAAGAAAATACTGAATATTTATGGTGAATGAGCTTCTCTTTTAGTTCTGAAAGGGGGCCTGCCAGATTAGGAGTCAAGCACAATAGAGGGTGCTGCTTCATGCAGCATGCTATGCATATAAAACAGTGACCAGCACTGAGCAAGGTTCATTTAGCAAAGCTTCAGACCCTGGCAAGCTCAATGAAATAAATCAAGCTGCAGCCCAAACATACAGAATTAAAGCTTATAATCATCAGGTTGTTTCAGATACAACCTTTGGCAGAACCAAACAAGAGCAGCCTTTGTATGAGCTGCTTTGTAAAGTAATCAAAAACATTATTAGCACTTATTCCTGAAATCCTATAATTTGTCTGACAAGGTTTATTTTTATGTTTGGTTGCATGTCATGTTTGTGGCAGGGAAAACCACAGGAAACAAGGTTTCTTTTGCTTGAATCACAATCTTTCTTTTTGATAAGAGTCTATGTATCTGTTTAGCTGGTCATTTCTAATAGAAACATAACTGTAATATACCTTAAAAAAAAATGGAACTAAAATATCATAAACAAGAACAAAACATTATAGAATACTGCCAAGAAAATGCAGAATGTTATCAACCACCGAGACAGATATTAGGAAGCATTTCTTTACAGGATGGGTTGTTAGGCGTTGGAATGGGCTGCCCAGGGAGGTGGTGGAGTCCCCATCCCTGGAGGGGTTTAAGAGTCGGGTTGACATAGCACTGAGGGATCTGGTGTAGTTGGGAACTGTCAGTGTGAGGTTAATGGTTGGACTCGATGATTTTCAAGGTCTTTTCCAACCTAGATGATTCTGTGATTCTGTGTCATTACTGCACAGTTGAAAACCTTAGTGGGCATTTTGAGGAAATTAGAGTTCAGTTACAGTTAGATGAAGTTTCTGGTATGAATATATCTACCAGCAGAAACTGGAAGATTTAAAATTATAGGTCAGTAATTCCATTATTTTTCACAAGCAACAATTTAACAACAGTAAGAAAAGGATAAATTTCTTTTACCTACAGTTTGCAGCCCAAGATTCTACATTTATGGCTGTAAGTGTAACTGAAAGCTGCATAGATGAAAATTATTTCTGAACAGTGTTTTTTTTTTTTTTTTTTTTTTTTTAGGATAACTGAGCAAACATATGAAAATCATCCAAGGGCTCCAAATAATCTCCCAGAAACAAACTACTCCAGTGACAGTGAAAGAAAGACCAGGTACTGTGGACAATTAATTGAGAACCGTAATGTCTAAAAGTGCCCTTTCTTGCAAAAAATTAAGAGAAACCATCTTTATGCAAGAAATTTCAGGGACGTTTAGAAACCTCCCACTGGTCTCTGGAATCATGCCAGCCTGTTCCAAATTCTGCTTCCAGGATCCCATGCACAGAAGCCCACAAAGCATAGCTCTAATGCACAGAGCAGGGAACACAAGACATGCCCTGTGTAGCTCTAGAGATGTAGCTGAGGCATGAAATTTAGGAGAGTAGTTAAGACACAATTCTTATATAACCAATAGAGGAAAGGCATTTCCTGCATGTTAGATACACCATGCTCTCAGGGAGCTTATTTCTTTCCAAGGCTGTAAGGAAAACATTACACTCTTCACTCCAGTGCTTTGTTAAATTCCTAAAATTATATGAGATTTATCTGAACCCACGTATCATGTATCATGAACCCATGTCTTATCCCAGTCATTGAAACTGTAACATGGGTTTCTGATTTTTTGACCTGGTAGAAATTATTTTAAAAAATCATTTCTCTTGCAATATTCTTTCTCTAGCTGGATTCTGTCTCTACAAGCACAAGTACTTCAAATTTGAGTGAAAAATGTGATGTAGGGGTATTTAATAGAATAAACACCAGGTTTGTTGGTAACAGAAAATCATTGAAAAAAGGGAAACAATATATTTTTCTTCATAGTTAAAATGTATTTTCAAGAAATATGACAACAAAAAAAAATATAAATCTTGAATTAAAGATATTTTGGGATTAGTAAAACCTCTATTCAGTACCAACTCACCATCTATGTGGCATAAGTATTAATGTAGACAGGATTGTTTAAAGATATAGTCCTATGTGTAAGGTACTGCTGTACAGGGGTCATGAACTGCCCAAGTCAAGGCTGATTACTTGGAAGGGAGAGGAGAAATCTCTTCTTGAGCCTTACCAATAGGGAAAATAGCAGTCACACTCTCGTATTTTATGGGAATTATGGCCAATATCCCAATCCTTAAATTTATGCACACCTGAGCCTTGGTGTGGGTATGACTGGGCACAGGGTCTTTGATCTCTCATTTTCTTACATTTGCTGTAGGAGGTTGGAGTACAGTTGAAATTTGTGTATTTTGAAACTCCTGCACGGTCTTGAGAGCTGAGGCCATAAACTGGACGAGAATAAAAGCAAATCCAAACAGCATACAATTTTAAGATTCAAAATTAATGTTCAACACAAAAATTAATTAGCATTTTGCAGACATACAGCTTCTGAGGTGTAATATTCTGATTATCTTTAAAAAATAAAATATAGAACAATAATACAGGAATGGCAGGGCAAAGGATGCACTTCAATACACAGTGTTACTTTACACTTGACAAAATGTAAACCCTACCTGAAGCTCTAATCCCAATTTAACTCAAGGAAGTTTACTGAATGAATGATCTTTGCAGGTTATCCTTTCAGGGTTTATCCAGTAGGATCTATAGAGTATATATCGTTAAGTAGTTTGCTGTATAAACAAGTCACACCATAGCAGATAAAGGGGAGGGTGATATGAACTGAAAGAAGGGACTTGATGAGATATGCAGCTATCAGGCTACATTCTAGCTCAATTTTAATTTAGTGTCTTCTCAAGCTGTCAGACTATGCATTTATTTGAAAAGTTTCTGAGTTTCCTCACATTGCAGCTGGAAAGACTAGAAACTGATGCTTTGGAAATATTTTTGCTGTAGCTTCATAGATTTTTGTTCTATACAGTACAATTTTATTTTTTTTTAAGATGAGGTTATATATGTATTTTTGTGTATTTCAACCATAATACTGTTGACAGTTCTTAAGATTCAAGAGACACTGTTCTCTACACTAGGACACTAGGAAAATATTTTCTCTAGACAACTTTCTAAAAGATAAACAGTGTTATTTTCAGGCATGCTGCATCTAAATATCCATATTATGTTGAGTGTGCAATGCACGGTATTCATTTTGCCCTGATCTCAACCCACATTTAACTAGATGATTTGAAATGTCAACCCGACTCAGCACTAGATTCTGTAGCTAAATACAATGACTTAAATGGAATATTTGGGAAAAAACGAGCTTAACAAAAAAAAAAAAAAAAAATAAAAAAAAAAAAAAAAAAAAAGCACAGACAGGCCCTTACTTTATAGGAATAGAGAGGTGATATTCCTGTGCCCCTTTTCACTATAGGCAAGAAACTTTAGGTGCTTACACCAGCAATATACTCCACCCTGTGACATGGTGTGCATGTGTCTAGCTTGCTTGGGGCAAAAATACCCAGAAAATCTCTTTCAAAAGGCAATCACTCAGCTTCAGTTTGCTTTCCTGCTTAGTAAGCTCACTTTCATCTTGTAAATGGAGTGCTGCATGCTCATTTGAGGAGATGCTTTCTCTGTGGTGAGCAAACACAGTTTGCTGCATTGCTATTGAATAAAAAGCATATTGTTATGTTCTATGAAATATAAATAGAACATTTATCATTTAAGGTTCTCATTGACTGTGCAATTTTAATAAATTTCTGGTGTTACATAGAAATGGAATTAGTCATATATATATACATTATGAAAGACAGGTATGTAGAAAAGTGTATCTGGGCCGTGTAACACCTTACATGTTATCAGTTTGCTATACTTTCCCTGAAAAAAAGACATGTTCTTCAAATACATATGATTATCAGAAGTTGTTCTTGACATTGCTAAACATTGTTCAAGAGTGATACGAAACATGTAAAAATTACCATATACCTTATGAATTTCTGGAGGAATAGGATAATTAAATCAGTTCAGAGGTGCTCCAAACATGTAAGGCAATGTGACTTCTTCAGCTGTCACATACATGCTCGTTCTTTCCATGCAAACAAAACTGACAGTTATGCAACTAGAACTTGAGACTGTTAAAAAAGTAAGTGCTGGTTAAATTCATTATATTCCTTCCTACTCTGTTACGAGGAACAATATAGTTACTTTAGTGAACACAAATCTCACACTGAACAGTGTGTATTATAAAAGACCCTCGCTCTACTTCGAAGGGACATGTTGTAATTTTGTTTGGCTGTTTGACAGGTCTTTGAGGACTAGTGAAAGAAGGGGGGAAAAAAAAAAAAAAAAAAAGCAGCGTGTCACCATTTCCTGATATGTATCATTTAGGCTGGGATATCAGCACAGGCAAACACAATACCATCATGCAGATTTTGCTCTATGGCCTTGTGGATTTAATTTTGAAATGTTGAAGAATTAGTCTAAGAATGTTGTATTTCTAATTTATGCTTTTTTATTTCATATATTTTCCTTGACTGTTGTGAAAATACAGAAAAATAACTCATCACCAATTATGATGTTTTTTTAACAAGCATGTCTCATTAGTTAAATTTACATCTTATCATCAGTATAGTGAAACCTTTAAAAATAAAAAGTACCATTTAATGATTGCTATGCACTCATTGCTTTACAGCAAATCATCATATCATGCCTATGAAGAAAATATAACTGGAAATACTATCAAAACTGTTTACTCTACTTCTGACCGGTAAGTACACATTAATAACATTGTAGAGTATCAAAGGACACAGACATTTTGCGTAAGTGTTCAAGTGTCCAGACAAAAGAGAGCAGTGGAAGTCACCATTAGGTTTGTCAGACAGCTTTTCATACAGAACTGCCTTTCAGTAGGATCTTGCCATCAAACCATTACCACAGCTCAGCAGCCTAATATTATGTTAGGCTTGTCAACGCTGACATTTTAAAATATCTATAGAAACAATAGCAAATGCCTTAAGTGATAGAGTTGGCTTTGTGATTCTGTAGCTTTCTACCTCAGGCAGCTGCTTACTCTGCAAAATCTCCTTCCTTTGTGAGAATGGTGTCTGTAATGACCAACTTTATGTACGGATGTGAAAGAATAGGTTCACATGACAATGCAGCTAAAAACTCTGTGTTTTCACACCAGTTAAGATATTCCCAAATATAAGAAGAATATTTGTTCAGTCAGTAATATCTTACCTCATGGGAAAAAAAGAGTTAAATATGCCCACTATTTTCAGTTCAGATAATTTGGATAGTCCTACTACTTGAAAATACTTAATCAGAAAAATTTGTATCCTTTCTAACATAAGTATAAGGAACTCCAGGAATGATTAAATATTAGTACAATGGTTTATCATTGAGTGGAAAGCAGAAAAATCAACACCAACAGGTGTATCTAGAGACAGTACAGATTGATGTCACATAAGAACATAAAAAGAGCTGAGAAAATTTAAAAAAATATTATTGTTACAAATACCAGGTAGGCTGTTCTATACGTATGTTCACTATAACTTCCATGAAGGTAGGATTTCTGTCTGCAGTACAGAAAATTAAAAATATTTTCAGGCACTTCCACAACCTAGAGGACAATACTATATCAGAGTGATCAAATGATGGCAGTTTAAATTCAACTACCCATTTACTTCTGTGATTAAAACGTTAAAATCATTACCCTCCACTTCATCCCCATTTAGTGTACATTCTCTCAGACATTCAGCAGCTAAATACGGTCTCATTGCTGTTTGAAATCATTCAGTTCACCAAAGACCATTCTTTTTTATCAAGATATTTTTGCTATTTGACAATTATGCTCAGCAATTTGCCCATCACAGGAGATATTACACCTGTCAACTAAAATGGAGGGAATATACACATGACATTTCTCCATTTATGGCCATTGTACAGTATACAAATGTCTTTCCCATGTAGTGCACTAAGCTTATCAATTTTCTGCTTGAGATTTCAATGGTAGCTCTTTTTCTGACAGCGGATGTGTTATTATACACACAGGAGTATAATTGGAAAAGATATATGTACATACTGCAGGAAGCCTTTGGGCATAGATGCCAAAATGATCTTAGATGCCCTGCAAATTTGCTGTCATTCGACTTGCTTCAAGGTAAGAAGATTTCACCTGCTATTAAGAAATATAATTTGAATGTAATACCCGCATTTTATCACATATATGATAAAAGAGTATATTTAAGCCTTAGGCCTTCTCCACCTGGAAGAAGAGGAAGGCTTGCACATTGGAGAAGATTTATGTAATCTCTCTCTCGCCCCTATACAATACCTCTTTCTTTCCATCTCCCTTTTCTTCTACTCTCCCTCTCCCTGCCTCTTCTCTTGCAACCACAAAGGATGCAGTGGAACACGTCCTGAATGTTCTATACACATGCTGAATGTCCTTACATTTACAAGCCTTCATTTATATATGCTTACAGTCTGATATAGTGAATTAAAGCATACTTACACTTTCTTCCTATTTTAAAATTTTATTCAAATTTTTTAATGAAGTTTTGTAGATGTTCTTGATTACGAGACATCTAAAACCATGGCTTGTGCAGAAGACACAGTCAAAGGCATTAGTAAGAGGTATTTAAGCCATAGAGGTGAAATAACTTTAGTTTTATGAAAGCACAGATTAAACTTTTCTTGCTTGTCATTCCAAAGCCTAAGCCTCAGCCTAAAATTCACACCTAACTTTCTTCAGGGTATGCCTACCAGTGCTCACCCTTCTAGTCTATTTTCCTTCTGCCTCATTTGTCTTAATACTGCTTGCATCTCCACACAGGGTTTGTTGTTCTAACGAACAATACTCGGCAAAATCCCACATTAGCACAGCTCATTTTTCTGCCCAGTCTTGCATAGTTTTTACTTCTGCTTCTGACAGCAGTTCTTTTACCTAGTTAATGCATGAAAACCCAAGGCAGAATACAGCAGTAAGGTTGTACTTAACACGAATGAACTTACATATGCTTTTTTGTCTCATATGGACTTTCTGAGCTCTGTGAGCACTAGAAATGCAATTCCTTCCATGGAAATCACTATGTAATACCTCCTCAATACTATTATTGCAAGTAAATACAAGTTCTGGTTTGCTTCCATTCTGAAAAGATAGATCAACCCACATAAAGAGAAATGGGCTTTTTATGCATTTAGGAGTGTTAACATGTTAGTGTTTTCTGAATTATCTGTTAAATATTCAAGTTTATTTTTAAAATTATATTCCTTTTGCTACATATTCCCAAGTAGGGACCTGTCTGGCCAGCAAAATTCAGCTTAATTTTTATGTAACTACACATTTATGAAAGCACTGGCAAAAAATTAAACAACTAATGTAGGTCTGTGGTTTGTGCTTGTAGTTATGTATTTAGCTAAGTAGTACAATTTCTCATCATTAATATTCATTTAGCTCCTTACAAATACCCTGCATCCATTAGAGATTTGCATGTAGATGACAGCAGTATAAGGTCTTTGTTTCCTTGTAAAGGTATATACCAAGTGTTTAGTGAGTAAATAATCCAAATTGTACCATTTTTTTCTCTGTATAAAAATGTTAGCTAATCTTGCTGATCAAAGCTTTGAAAATGTGCCCATCCCTTTGCTGATTTATACAAGGAAACATAAAAAAAGTAAAGAGAGCAGACTGTTGTAAGAGTATCTTAATACTAACAGCTTATGTAGAAAAGATATAGAAAAAAACAGTTCTGGAAAACTGGAAAAAGAAAAGTTCTCTAGTACTCTAACATGTTATGCTAATCAATACTGAGTGCTCAGCTGCAATTACATACTAGCCCTAGTGAGCATGTGTAACATAAGGCAATTGTATATTGTCTGGATCCTAGATCTACTCATTTATACTGCCTTTAAGTCCATGATGCTGACATCATACAATTTCTTTATTCATTCAGCTGCAAATGGATGCTCAGGGTAAGACTGTTAATTTTTAATTTTTATAATTAAGATTTTCGGTCCAAATTTATCTGAATAGACAGCCATTGTGAAAATTATGCAAAGGCTTACAGCCTTTCTGGGATAGTGGACAATGTGGTTACTGAATTGCACTGTAAAAGTAATGCTGATTTTCATTTATCTGAGGATAAAATATCCAGAGAAACCAGAATTTGCTATTATTTTATTATTAAAAAAAAAATCTGGATGTAAAAGTTCTAGTTTATAGATTGAATTGCTTTCCTCCTTGATCCACTGTAGGCTTTCCTTGTGATCTTGGGGATTAAACCTCTGTGTTTATCTGTGTATTTTCATATGTGGAACATGGGTGATGCTTCTCTAACTTAAAAAATAAATTTTTGAGACATTTGTGAAGGCGGCATCCAGATTGTGCAATAATGGGAGATTATCATAAAATTATTTCAAAATAAGCAGGTTTAGTTTCTTTAAGATCTACTCTGAGTTGGATGATTCAATCTGATTATGTTTCTTTTTTGCAATGAAGAAAGAAAATGATCTTAAAGGGGTGATTCATCTTATTTTAGGATAAATTTCTAAGCTAAGACAGAGAAAGTACCCTTAGGAAATTTCTGAGGGAAGGAAGGGGTTGGTGAGTATAGCGAGAATGTGGGGAATGAGTTGAGACTAGGTATCTGATTTTCAGATGTCTAAAGGTGAGATATTCAGATGTCTAATTTACTATTCATTAAAAATACTCTTTCAGAGTTCAGATTTTATGATACTGCAGGACTCGTAACCCCTGTTCAGTCTGGGATTGCTTGCTTCCTAAAAGACGGCATGCTGGGAATGAATTTTAAAGAGTTTCATTTTATTTTTTTCTTGTTACTTTTACCTGTGTGTTGAAGTGTGAAGTATGTAAAAGACCACTGGAAGATCTGAAAGCAGGAGACAGCATTTGGATTTACAGACAAACTGTGCACTGTGAGCCTTGCTATTCCAAAGTTAAAGGTAAGATGCAAGATGTATTACACTAAATATAAGAAAAACGATGTAGAGAACTTCATTCAAATAACTTCAGTATATTACAACAGAACTACTGCTTTTGCTCGTTTCTGTTACTTAGACCTTTTCAAAGTATTTCATTCAGTAAGACTGGTCTGCTTAGGATCATATCCAACCTCATTTTCTAGACATGATAATTAGCCGTACCTGTGTGGGAGATTTCTTAAAGTCTCATTGTAATCTGTAAAGTCCTACCTGTGCAGTCAATGGAGACACCTACAGTGAGGCAACAGCTTCTTGTCCTGAAAGTGACAAGAATTGCAAGGCCATCTGAGAATCAGGTTGTGCTATTGAAATGAATAACCAGGGTTCAAAGGTATTTTCACCTAATGTGGTCATTTTGACCAATAAAGAGAAGATACAAAATCTGTTAAATCATAATGAAATTATTATACTGTGAGTACCATTTTTCACCTTTGTGAGGAGCATGGTGAGTAAACAAATGTGCAAGACAGCGAAGAATGATGGTTTTGCTTTACTAATTTTTCTAGAAGTTGCTAGATTTTAAGTCTTCTCTGTTCACAGCAATTATTAATTCATAATACTATAAATAAGTATCTCTGTACCAAATAAAGACAAATGGAAACATAGACAAAATGTTCTGATAAGCTTGTGTTCACCCATGTACTTCTGAGACAGGATCATGTTAACTAAAATTAAATTAATCAATTTGTTTTATTAAAATACTTTGTGTTATTATGCCATTGCAAAATTTGATGGGAAGAGTGAATTTTTCAATTAATCAGATTATAAAATTAATATGGCATTGTGACAGTTGTAAAGCTGTAGGAAGAGATACTAAGGGTCTGTATATTAAACATTATAAATTGATAACTCCTATTTCAGCAAATGACAAGATGGGACAGTCAGACTTCAGTACTTTTTCTAAAAAAACAAACTGATTTAGAGTTTTCTTGTGTGACATTTAGAGAATACTGTTTTGCTTGGCATTTCTGATCAATCTTTTCTCTCTTGCAGAAAAATGGATCTACTAATTCTGACATACAAAAAGCATGATAAAGAAGTTCCACTAGTGTTTAGCTAAGTGTATTGGCCTGTTAATTCAAACCACTGTGGAAAATGATTTAATTTTATTGTTAGGAACACTCTTAAATGCAGTCCTACTGCATGGTTCCCAAAGGAATTAATTTCATGAGAATTTAGATGCCTTTTCATACACATTCCAGGAAGTAAAACAAGACATCATTCATATACTCATCAGTGAAACTGCTAAAATGTATGTAAAACTAACCATAATTTATTGAAATTTTCTGAACAGTAAGACATACCTACACATATATTTTGAAGGGGCTGTATTCTCTTTACTGAAAAAAACATCTCCTCAGATATAAAGATCTGTTATCTTTATATAGCATGTATAGGATTAATCATCTCATCAAAGATTAGTCATTTAAAAGACAGCTATGAGGATTTAAACTACTATTTTCATACAGAGTAAGGTGGGTTCACTCTACCTTTGAGGAGAGACATCAATCTCCAGTGGAAGATTCTTCCCAAGTAACTTAAATGATTAAGATAGAACAAGTCATCTCTGGAAAATGCATCTCTACTACTGCAGAGGCATTCTAGAGAAAAATTGTTAGAGGGTTTTAATTAGAAGTCCACGTTTGTATAATAATTCTGGGAAATATTGTCTCACCATTTTTTTAAGAAGTGCACACAATAGTTGCCATGAAATCATGAAATACATACTTTGCATGACATTATGTTGTTGTATTTATCTTTCCTACTTTATTAAACTGAATATCTAAACACCTTGGATGGATTCATCTGGCCTAAATTTAAACATCTACAGTGTAGACATCTACTTCTAAGTTACTTGCCATATTCTGTCTTTATAGTCATATAGAGAAGTAGACATTTATAGAAAGTGATTCAATTGGTCAGATTGCAAACATTTATTTTACCAGATGTTAACCATGCTGTGAATGTACGTCTTACTTTCCATGGTTTGAAAAGGAACATGGAGTAAATAGTTGAGATTTCTAGACATCTACATTAGGCCAGATAAACTCCTTCCTCTGAGACTACAGTGAAAACATTTTTCCCTTTTGGACAGCACATGCTTATTAAAGTATAAAAACTGAAAGAAGAGTTTGTGTTTTGTTATATGTTTCCACAACACTCAATAGTTACCTGCCTTATTTGCCTAAAATAATAAATAGTTCAGTAATTTACTGGACAAACAAAGGTGTTGACTACTGGTCTCTGTCATGAGATGTTTTAGATCATCTAGGTTATCCAGAACTGATTTTTCTCCCTTACATCTCAGCTTAAAAGGCATTCTTGGATATGACCATGACAGAGTTAGAGTTCTTAGAGGCTGCTGGACCTGAGCAAGATCTTAGAAGGGTGAAAAGTGCAAAAGCCATAGATTAATATTAGACTGTTGAATGGCTGTCCCAGCCAAATGTTCTCTCCTCGTCTGCACGCTCAGTAGTGGAGACAGGAGGTATGGATGTCTGTGTAATTTAAACCATTGGGCCTGCAGCTGAATAATAATGTAACCTGTCATGCCTATCTTAAAGGATGCTTAGACTGAGATGCAAAGGAGCCAGGAAGCAGTAGATAGTTTGTTAATTTTATGAAAATTTCTTATGAATTAATGTCAGTAGCTTTAATAAACCTGTTATTATAGATATTTTTTTTCTGGTGTGTGTCTCTTGATGATGACATATTTTAGTTAAACTATATCTATTATTACCCTGTGCTTTACCAGCAAACAATGAGACCTGCCCAACAACTAAAGAATAACAGTGGTGAAATTTTAATGTTGGGGACACAAATTTGGTCCTGTTCAGAGGCCAACAGTTATTGCTAAGGCTTAGTTACAATGGAAGATGTTAGATGTTCATTTGAGCCAGCACATTAGAATCCAGGATTTCCTAGTGTTTGAGGGGATGAGAGATTTTAGTTCACTCCATCAGAGACCAAGAGCAAACCCTAGATCCAAATTATCTGCTACTTAAATGCTTGACAGAGAAGTAGCAATAAGAAACAACAAATAATAATTCTGTGCTCATTAATTCATCCATGCTGAACAGTCCTGGTAATTTTGCCATGTGTTTTTTTGTTATTTTTTATTATATGTTGTAAGTTTGCTGAAAAGAAACACCGGTTTTGTGATGCTTGATATTTACCATATAAAAGCTGGCATGGCAGTACTCATTAAAAAAAATCATATTAACATCTCAATACCAATGTATCAAAACTTAATTGTTTTTTGTCCTTTTTGCATATCATTAGCATGTGGTGTTTTATTTCTCTTTGAGTAGTGCTTCCATGAAACAATCCAAATGAACAGTTTGCTGGCAGCTGTTTTAATGAACGCGTTATCTTCAATAATGCATTAAATTAGACGGAAAAGCTGTATTGAGAGATGATGTACTAAATTATGTGGGGTTTTGTGATTCATCAGGACCATTTTTCCAGTGTGTAATGGATACTTTATTTTACAAAGCTGGGGCATAGCTCTACAGGGGGAACAATCAAGCAATAAGAGGAAAGGAGTGAAATAATGCATATAATACGTTATGATGCATTTAAATATGTAGATGGCTTCAAAGCTACTGATATTTACAACAACGAATGTCACAAGAACAGCTCTGCTGTATTAATATATTTTGTTGTATCCTGTATAGGTTCTTACAGAATGCTCATCCTGAGCATCCCATCCCTAGCAGTGCTTGACACATGGTGACCAACATCTGTAACACTGTCCGCTCATCTTCCTCCTCTTGAAATAAAGATCTCTGTGAGATTCACAGAATCATCTAGGTTGGAAAAGACCTTGAAGATCATCTAGTCCAACCATTAACCTAATACTGTTTGCCAAGATGTGCTCTCCATTTCTTTAGAGACCCTCCCTAGCTAGGCTTGTAAAAAGCAGTTCAACATCAAAGGGGTCTTGCTTTTATTCAGTAGCTCAGCTCTATTCTTTGCTCCTTGTATGAAGATGCATGTTGTGTTGGGATAGTTTCATGTGTTCAGTTTATTTACTCACAACATATATAGGTCAGAACTCTGTTACTCTGCTTGCCTTCCTTGGTATTTTAACATAACCCTGTCATTTAGAATGAAAAGCATCCACTTTCCTGTTTAGCTTTGCTTTCTGATCATACTTGCATGTTGCTCACTTTAGCTACTCTGTTACACCATGAGGTGTTTTTAGCTTCCAGTGAAGTTGGTGTCAGACTAGGAGGGAGAAATGTAACCTCCTTTTCTCCCTTCTGCTGCACCAAAACACCTTATTTTTCTTCACAGCAGCATAACAGCAGAGACATCCTTCATTCCATTAAGACAAAGGACAAAGACACTTAATACTTAGGCAGGTTTGATGTGCTGAAGTCTGAAATTGTTGACCAAAATAGCTCTGTTTAGCTGCTAAACAGATGCAAAATCACTGAGGTCTTAACACATGACATACTTCCTTTTTTTGACTTCAAAGGTTTACTGTCCTGATTTGTGCTTTGCCTGGTCTGAGCAACCCAGCTCTAATCTCCTGCATCAGAAAAACTGGGACTTAGAAACATTCCTTACATTTCGGGGAGAAGAATCTGCATATATCCTCAAAACATGTTTGCCACACACTGCTAAGATCAGACCTCCTCAAAAATTTCCCAATAACTACCACCTTTAAAAATCATGGAGATCTGAACAGATCACTGGCCCAGAGAGTGGGAGGGCCAAGTCCAATTTCTCCTCCAGCATACCTATGTTTTAACCAAGTCATATAACACAGTGGAACAGGCTGGTGTGCGGAATAAACTAGATGTTCCCATTAATATTTTTGCCATGGTCCATGACCTGTGCAGGGTGAATCCTTATGGCCCACAGGATAGCTGTGCTGCCTGAACATTCACTGTGTGCCTCCTGACCCCTCAGAAATGACTACTGAATAGACAACAGAAACAGTCCTGGGAGTAATGACCAGACCCTGGAATTTCTTCATCTCATCTGAGTGGTCTAATTCATAATTAAAAGCAGTCAGAATGATTCTCTGTTTACCTCTGTTAATGTCTGTTCCTTTCTAGCAACATTAGAGTTGTCTGCACTCAGATTTGTCTGGAATAGGATGGTGAAGGAAGGGAAATTTGGGGGTTTTTCATCTGAGGGTACTAGAAATGTCTTCGTATGATAATCTCTTAGGATCTTCACCTTAGGATCTTCACCTTTCCTGAGCTCTTTTGGACAGAAACTAACTCCTGCTGCTTGTGCAGTGCCCAGCACAGCAGTGGCCTCTGGGTGGTACTGCTGCACCTGTGTAAGTGCCTCAAGAAAAATTCAGATTTCACCTCCCTTTCCAAGCAAGCCACTTGTAAATGTACTATATTTCATGGAGTTTTTATAACTGTGCCAGTTATAAACTGACAGCTACAGTCTCATAGCCTGTGCCAAGACTTAAAACTGGTCAATTTCATCCTGTTAGAGTCAATATCTGAGTATAATCATGCCAAAAGTACTTGTCTGAGTCTGAGTCTTGGCATTGCTGTGCAGTCACCAGACATCTCTTTAGGGAGCTTAGCTATTGTGGTCAAAACAATGGAAAACCAACACTTTAAAACTACCTACTCAGAAAAAAAAAATCCAACGAAACAGAATAATTTCTGGAAAGAAAATGAAAATTTTTCTGGCATTCAAGTAATTTTTCCTAATGGGGGTGGTGAAATAGTGTTCACATGTCAAAATACCCAAAAGAAGCAGAAAAAGGGAAAATACTAAGATGAAAGTATTCAAAGAAGCCAATTAAGGACAAGTGATATTGAAAACTGGGGCTAGGAAATTAAAAAGTAATAGTGTTGCCATAAATAATGGTGCTGTTGAAATCAATAGTCAGACGACTGTAAGATGAATATACCAGAAAACTTTGGTCTACGTATCTTCTGGTTTCTCTAGGGAGTTTCCACCTATGGAACTTTGAATTATCCCCATATGTAGTTCAAATCTTGGAATTAAGAAGGAGAAACCAGCTAACCCTACTCAGAGCATTATAATCTCAAACAGCCAAATATTTAAAATGCTAAAATTTGGAAAATCTACAGAAGTATATGATTGAGAATGCATTTGAACACTGCTTTTG